AAATAGATAAAATAAAATAGATGTAAAAGAATAAACCTACTAGCTGAATATCAAGTGCTCAAGATTCCACTCCAATGTAAAAGGTATGGAATAAATGCTACAAACATACAACAGAAATGTGAAAAAAAATTTCACATTCTTCTGGAATACATGAAGATTTAAATAAATGGAGTAACATTATTAAGTGTTAATTTTTTGAAGTCAATCTACAAATGTAACATAACGGAATGAAAACTTTTTTTTCTTAAAACTTGACAAGAAAATTTCGTATTTGATAATGGTAGCACTGCGTAACTGTGGAAAGAAGAAAACTGTCTGACACAGTATGCAGAGGCAATAGAAATGCATGGAGGAGCAAAGTTACAAGTGGGCCCTGTGGTTGTTAAGTGAGCATGAGCCTGGCTGGACTGCAAAATGCTTACTAGAGAACAGTGAGGGTTTTCCTGAAGACTGCCAAGTGGATAAACTAAGGAAATCCTGCCTAACACAGACCTCTACATCTCAAAAAGTAAAAAAATAAAAATAAAATCTCAATAAATACTTACACACTGAAAAAGAAGAGGGCTAGAGATATAGCTCAGTGGCAGAGCACTTGCCTAACATGCGGCAGGTACTGGGTTCAATTCTTAGTATATCACCCAAAGAAAGGAGGAAGAGAAGGAGGGAAAGGGAAAGAAGGAAAAAAAAATAGCCATAAATGAAAAACATTGTCTGGCAAGCGCAAGGGTCTGAGTTCAATCCCCAGTACCACAAAAAAAAAAAAAAAAAAAAAAAAAAAACCTTGGCAAGTGTGTCATTAAACCCAGAAATATGAAAGAAAAATTAACCACGTGAAAAGTTACATGGCCAAATATGCTATAAGCAAAGTAAAAACAGATAAATAGCAAACCGAGCAAAAATAGAATGCGTCAAAAGCAGTACTTGGGAGACAGCTCAATGGTAACAACATAGTGTCTGCCTACCAAGGCTAAGTCTCTGGGTTAGAGTCCCAGCACTGCAAAAAATAAAAGTGAAATGTTTTCCTTAACTCATAAAACATCCTATACACATCAGAAAAAAGGGATGGGAAGATAGCTCAGTAGAATAAGCGTTTGCCTGGCAAGCTCAAGGGTCTGAGTTTAATCCCCGGTTCCACAAAAAAAAAAAAAAAAAAAAAAATTTATACTTTAGAGGCCAGCGAGATAGCTCAGGGGTCTTAAACAGGTGCTTAGGCAAGCACGGAGGGACTGTGGTTCAATCCCCAGCATCACATGTTGCACCAGCCCCTCCCCCAGGGCAGGCTGAGCTGGTCACAAAAAAAGAATTGTACTTTACATCTGTTAGGAATGAAGATGACATACATATAT